AGGTAGCAACTTGTGCAGCCTCATGAGCTGTTTCTCTTCGACAATTTGGCTGTGAATGTGAAAAGACTAGCTATAGCTTGGAAGTACCTGGAGATCCAGCCAGGCATCTCAGCATTAACAGGGGCATTCAATTGATACAACCTAATGATTTGGAGGTCCACTCTTGTTTTACCTGGGCGAAACACACCCAACATGTTTATTTCTAACATTGGTCTGACTAGAGATGAAATTGTGTTAGTAGTACAATAATGAAGGATGTGATGCAGTGAACTAGTGCATGTCTTTCATTAGCGCAAAGTACGTGTATGATATAGATTTGAGAAACATGTAGACCTCTATAGCATTGAGGTAATTTGAGGATACGGATAATTGGAAAAATGAACACATCACAACATTATGATGCATATACCACCGGCAAAAATCCAAGGATATTGGATAATCATTAGGAGAGAGCATTGTGATTTTAGCAGCTTTAACCGTGGAGTAGTACGCAACAGTTCTCGAGGAAACAATAAAAGAAGCTAGCGAACACAACACTCTCACGCGCTGCGTGTGAATTATCACGCGTGGACTTCCTTATTTGGTTACACTTTAACCCCATCTGGCTTCACCCAAAGCGGGTGAAACCGTTTTCGGTTTCACTCTTTTAGGGAAATTTGATGCCACAAACACCGTAACCGCGCCTGCTTCGCTGCGCTCGCGATCAATCATCCGTGAATGCCCGATAGGTTCCACCCGACTTGTCCCGTGGGCCTGGGCCTTTTCAAGGTTGCGGCATAGACTTCATTCCCCCGACCCATAAGACTATGCGTTACAGCTCTTTCCGAAAACCTTGACACTGCGTCAAATTTTTTGGTGTCACTCAACTTTTGATTCAAGGCTAAGCATTGCCGAATTAGGTTCGGATCAGTTGGTATCGCGGGATGTGTCAGTGGCCACCAGGTCAACCTTCCTCCTTGAAAAGCTTTCACTGTGCAACCCACAGGTAGTTATATTATGTCACCTGAAACCCATTTGATTAATGCCAGCACAAATATCTGGACAAAATTTCAGGTCTCGGCCCTTCCATCTACTGAGTACCGCTACTTATGCCCCAGGCTATTTATGTCCCTCCGCCACGCGACGGCTTTCGTTCGCATCGGACTGTTAAAACGGTATCAACTTGTCCACGACCACTGGTCCACTGGCAGGAAGGCCACTTGGTTGCGACACTCACTACGCATGGGACTTCTGTTCAAACTCGATGGAGAAGTCCATGTCCCCCAATTCAGCTCTTCTGGCTATAACTCTACCCCAGCCAAATGACACTAAAGAAATCACTCGAGCACTGGCTCAAAGGAGGGAGAGATGCCCTTGACAGGTGTTTTAGAATTGCAGGACTGAGAGATGCACCTCAGACTGTCCCTTTTCCACTCCGTCTTTCAGGGCATCCCTGTTGGGATGTGCCACCCTGACTTTGACCTGACTTCTGCCATGACCTCTGATCCCTGCGGGCCTTGTGTCCTCTCCTGCCGTAGCTCAGCTTCGTCGTAGTACATCACGGAAGATTTCGGACCGTGCACCATGTGCACATGTTTATCTGGTGCAATTTGCGGCGCACGGCAGCTCCCAGGATGGGGCGGTATTGTAACCAACCATGTATTAGGTGGCCATCGCAGTTTTACTCTATTTTTTCCCATTGTCCTGTTTGCAGTTTGCGTCTCTTCGGAGTGAACAGTTGTTGGTGGATCTTCTCAGTGGTAGGGATGTTTTCCTGTCCTCGTATATCATTTTTCTCACTTCTTCCCTCCTTCCCGAGGTTGCTTGAATCAGTCAAACTCTTGTTGGGACATTTAGTCGACGGCCGGGCAAATCCTCTTAAAGGCCTGGAAAAGATTCTGGCATGCTGATTTCGCAGTTCGTGAACGATGCTTCCTCTCCGCATGCTCCGTCTGAGTATTAATTGAATGTCCATACAGTAACCTTTATCCGAACCCCAGTATTGTTTAAAACTTAGTGTCAGTTGCCTGCTGCTCTGGACCCAATTAGCTACAGTCGTGCATGTCCCACCTGACTCGCCTAAATCCCCCTCCGGAGTCATCATTCTGTCCCGGGGAAAATTCTGATCTCTCTGTCATATGTGCCAGTTGAACGGTAATCCTGCTTATATATATATATATACTTCTTCCTACACTGTTCAATCGGGGATGAATGAAGACCCCAAGAGCACTGCACGAAATGTGCTATTCCGATTCCATGCATTACTGTGCATATGACATGAATAAATATATCACGCACTCCTGAGTCAAACCTTGAACTTATCCTCCATTCACACCAAACTTAAATCACAAAGCTGGTCAGCCATATCCACCCTTCTCGAATCATGAACGATTCAAGTGACAGAACTTTAGTGCAGCTCAAAAAGGCCGCCGTGAGTGAAATTGTAACTATTGATGAGCGAGCGGTCATGACATCAGTGACATGGATTGCGCCTAGTGGAACATTTCGGTGGACCTCTGCTGAAATGAAGCTTGAGACTAACCCTAAATCCTCTAAAAGACTTCAAAACTATGGACTGATGGGGAAGTTTTTGGATGCTCATCAATGACTAGGGCTCTCACCCGTTCCCGTAGCCCAGGGGTTCACAGGCTGTTTTGCAGGTACGGGTCCCGGCCATAGAGCCATAGATTGAATTTATCTACGGCATGGGTGTACCCGTAAATGGGTCACCCGTAACCAGCTGTCTACGGGTTGTACGGGTCAGCCTATAAATGAATTAAATTAGGTAGTGGGAGCGGTGCGTACCAGCCTAAAGTCAGCTCAAATGTGCTTTCGTGGCCTCTGATAATTCATCGGGCTTCACAGTTCTCATTGATAGTGTCTGTTTGCTAATGGCTGGTGTTAACACTGGGGGCAAGGTCCCATGCATGTGGAAACCACATGCTTTAAATGCATGAGGTCCGCAGGTGGTCCACAGGTCTTGAAAAGGAAACAAAGGCTCTTTCACAGACAAAGGCTGGACAAAGGGCAGACAAGGCAGGCATTTTTTGGGGGGTGGCAGGAAACTTTGCCTGCCCTTTGCCTGCCCTTTGCCTGCCCTTTGTCCAGCCTTTGTCTGTGAAAGAGCCTTTGTTTCCTTTTCAAGACCTGTGGACCACCTGCAGACCACATGCATTTAAGCATGTGGTTTCCATATGCATGGGACCTTGCCCACGGTGTAACATTGCAACCCGAATTCAAAATAGTCGTCAATCAATGGTTTTCAAGAGCCAGATGTTGGTTTTATATGCATTGAGCAAGATTTTGGGGTTTGCATAGTTGAAACCATTGCACTTCGCATTGAACTACGAGCTTGCTACTTTCCATGGTCCCCATCAAAATTTAAGAGTTGCTGCTCCCCGAGTTCCCTAGAAGATTTCGCTAGGACAGGTGTTTAAAACATCTATGGGAGCATTCTAACCTTCATTTAGGAGTGCCTGGCATGCATACAGCGGTCCCAAGACACGACCGAAATCCCCAAAAATGAAATGTACGACCAGACCTGTCGCTACGGCTGTAACCCGTCGTATGGCCAGGACCCGGCCATAGGGGGCTCCTGAGGACTTTCTCTATGGGTCAGGTACGGTATGGATCAGGCCAAAAACTGCCGTAAATACCCGACCTGTTGTATGGGTCGAACGGGTTAGAGCCCTATCAATGACACTTTCCCCTCAGGTACGTCGGTCTAATAGCTAACTAGTGTTTCTAATGACCTGTAACTTCCTCAGAAAATTTGTGGCTCAAAAAACCAAAGTTGTAGAGCTCCTTGGGGGCATTCATAATTGTCTAATGACCCGTATCTCAAGTAGCTTAGTTGGCCTGCAAATCACAAAATACTCGGCCAAATGCGGTTCAAAATTGCAACTTCATTAGAAAAGTTTGTGACTCAAAAAACCAAAGTTGTAGAGCCCATTGAGGACATTCAGATTCATCTAATAACCCATATCTCAAGTAGCTTAGTTAGCTCGCAAATCACAAAATACTCGGCCAAACACGGTTCAAAATTGCAACTTCATTAGAAAAGTTTGTGACTCAAAAAACCAAAGTTGTAGAGCCCATTGAGGACATTCAGATTCATCTAATAACCCATATCTCAAGTAGCTTAGTTGGCCCGCAAGATGCAAAATACTCGATTAAACACAGTTCAAAATTGCAACTTCATTAGAAAAGTTTGTGACTCAAAAAACCAAAGTTGTAGAGCTCGTTGAGGGCATTCAGATTCATCTATAACCCATATCTCAAGTAATGTAGTTGGCCCACAAATTACAAAATACTCAGCAAAACACAGTTCAAAATGTCTAACTACATACCAACTTGTGTGAGTCATTAGAAAGTTTGTGGCTCAAAAAACCAAAGTTGAAAGATATGAGGAAACTTAGAGGCAAAGAGGATAAGTCAAATGTTAAAGTCAATTTGGTGGTTTTGATGCACAAGGTAAGATCAAGTAAGTACAAATAAAATGATGGTGTGGGAGCTCCCCAGAGAAAGACTAGAGCCAGTGGGAGCTCCCGAGAGGATGTTGGCAGACTATGGGAGCTCCTGGCTGAGACAATAGCTGCTGTGGGAGCACCCGTGAATGGGAGCAAAATGATGGGAGCTCCCAGCTGGGTAAACATCTGCAATGGGAGCACCCAAGAAGGGGAACAAAATGGCGGGAGCTCCTGCCCAGTTGGCAGGAGCACCCGGGCTGTTGAGGCACCAAGGCGAGAGCTCCCAGGCCATTGGTGGGAGCACCCAGATGGTAATATGATGGGTGCTTCTGTGCCTGCATTTGGGAGCACCCAGTGAAGTCAAATGGGAGCACCCATGTCAATGGGTGGGAGCATCCACCACCCAGTCGGGAAGCTCCCATACCTGCATTGGGAGCATGGGCGGTGTGAGCCATCACCTTGTGATAGCTCCCGACGTGACCTCAAAACCCCAAACTCTGAGAACGCGGCTACAGCTTGACACAAATTTTAAAAAGCAACCTTACCCAGACATGGCTCGACGCAGAATCGAACTCCATACCCCCTGAAAACAAAACACCTATGTAGGAATTCAGAATGCATTACCACTACGCCACCGAGCCACGGACAACAAAAGGAAATTTCAAATATCTTTAATGCAAATGGCTTGACGGAGAATCGAACTCCAGACTTTTCATTGAACGATATATGAACATTGCATATAGGTACACGGAGCGTGTTACCATTACACCACCAAGCCATTCAAGAGTCAAACTCAAAGACTACCAAGGACCAACTCCGAGTTAAAAATATTATCTAGACCCAACCCATGGCATGACGGAGAATCAAACTCTGGACTTTCCGTCAAACAATATATAAATGCTATATATCACCATGGAGCACGTTGTGATTGGGACTGCGGTGCTGGTGTGTGAATTGGTTTACACTGGCAACAGCTTGTTCGTCCTCTAGGGGATTCTGAGTATGATTTTTAGGGGATTACAAGGTTTATTGGATCACCCTTTGGGTGGTGGTGGTAAATGAAGGTGGTTGTCCCAATGGGACAATGGTTGAAGAGAGTGTGTGTGTGTGTGAATAAACTGATTGAGGGCCTGTAAGCGTAAAACGTCTGGCTGGGACGGTGATTTGCCAAAGGGGGCCTAGGCTAGCTATCAACTTGTGAAGGAAGATAGGGTTGCTTCAGGAAGCGACGATTATAAGCGCGAGCTTAAAACTTAAGCTGCAAGTGGGTTAGAAGTAAAATGCCATGAGGCAAGTGAGTGGTGGTCAACTGGTAATTGGGGGTGGACTAAGGTACACTGCAGGACAGTGCAGTCCAAGGATTGGCCAGGTAACAGCTGGGAACCAACTACTCTACTGAGTCCGTTCCTGTCTCCCTTTTATACCCTTCCCCCTACCTCCTTTGGGCTATGTGTTATGTGATGAGGAGGGGCTGAAACGGGGTCCAATGGTTTCAGGTGGGTAACAGAAGGTGAATTTGGGGAACGGCCTTCTGGGATGAACTGCCTTTCAGCGAGTTCACGGCAATTCCTTGAGGCGTGGGAAGTGTGGGTGACCAGGTGAGCCATCCTGGACATGGATTCGGTGCTCTCCGGGTCAGTATGTGGGCAGGAAAGGGAGTCTGCGAAGAGCGTCCCTTGTGGACATTCGGTGAAAGTGGTGATCCCATCGGAATAAGTCTCCCGTGGTGTCATGGTGATTTTGTCAGGACATATGGCCCGAGTGGACGATCGTTTGGCCCCAGTGAACGGTCGTGTGGTGCCCTAAGGATGGTTAAAAGGTCAAACAGCCCAGTTGGACGGTGTCCATTTCCGGCAAACAGGAAGCTCGATCAGGGTATTCCTTCGTCCCAAGGTCACATGGTACTGGCAGATCTGTTGTGACACATGTAGGGTGCGTAGCACCCTCACAGCATTACCATTACGCCACCAAGCCACAAATTGAATGGCCAAATTGCCAAATAGACTGTCGCCATGAAAGAAAAAGAAGGGTTTCTGTCAGAATGGCTTGACGGAGAATCGAACTCCGGACTTTCCGTCAAATGATATACAAATGCATTAGATAACCATGGAGCGCGTTACCATTACGCCACCAAGCCATAGGAATTGAACAACCAGCTAAAACTATTGCTGTGAAAAAGAAAGGTTTCTGTCATAATGGCTCAGCGGAGAATCGAACTCCGAACTCTCCGTAAAGCATACCGCAAACTACATAGGAATGCGGAGTGTGATACCATTATGCCACTGAACCGTTCAAAACGTGCCGTATCTTATTACTCAATGGACAAAAAGAACGCAAGGCCCGTCGGAGATTCAAACTCCGGTCCCTCCATTATTCAGTTTCCTGCCAGCTACACGAACAGAGTGCATTACCACTATGCCACTGGACCATGTGTACGACCAATACGGAGGTCCGATAAGTGGCGCACAAAAAAGGGATGGAACAGAGGAATGGCTTGACGGAGGATCAAACTCTGGACATCCTGCAAGAGGAGCTTGTGCAAGAACCAACACAGGATGTGTTACAATTACGCCATCGAGTCGCAAATGCATACAGCCCAGAAGGATGGAACAAGAACTCCGGGTGGTCAAAAAGTGGATAGCACAAGAGAAGGGCTCGACGGAGGAAAAATATCATCTCAGTTTCGGCCCACATTCTCACCTTCTAAGCCTTAGCCAGCTTAGGAGTAGCTAAAAGCCACCCAAACATCACCTAGAGGTCACCCGGAGTCGAGTTATACAGTAAATCGACCTCCGGTACTCCCTCGCCGCTGTCAGACAGCGAACGGAGTTTCATTCGGCATAAGTTCAGCGTCGATTATTGAACCTTCTATTCCTCCCCTACGTTAGTAGGGCAGTGAAATCTCTCAAGCAGCACAACAAAGTCTTCGGAGTTCGTGTGTAGCTGCTAGCTAAGGAAGTTGGTGGTGCAGAGCCCGCAGGAAGTCGCCTTCAGCAAGTGAACGGGTTGAGAAGTAGAGAGAGGAAACTCTGTAGAGGCACAAAGAGGGGTAAAAGGAGGAGAAATTTGCAGGAACAATACCACAGACACATAACTCCCCCTGTCTTACAATCTACAACTCAAATATACTTTGGACGACCGTGGTTCGTGGTCCAAGAAGCCCTTAAACCCCATATATCACCCTGGACTTAGCGAATTGGACCCCGCATCGCCTTCTGGAGTTCCTCCTCCGAGGAAGCGTAGAACAGATTCAATCTCTGTTAACCCGAGAAGGCTAACTAGGCATCAGAGTTCGCTCGGTTCACCCTAGCTAGTAGGATTTTGAATGGACTGTTCAAATCCTTGTATGAATATCCCCACCAATATTATTTTAACCCTCCCTACGTACTTGTCTATGGCAACAGAACAAATTCCCCCTAGAGGACGAGTATTTAAACATAGCCTGGATCTCCCCACCATCTGGCAGTTTAAAGCACTGCAGTCCACATCACAGTGGGAGCTTCCGCCACCCGCTCCAAGAGTTCCATAGGAGCTCCCATACCACTCTGTACCACTCATGGCGGGGGCTCCCATTACTGGTGGTGAATAATTTCAGAGCAGTAAATGATTGGAGGGATTCCGGCAGCATGGCATACAGGCATATAGGGATGGACATGCTACTTGCGGGATATGTAATAGCTGGGACAACCATATCACAGCTGTGGGGTGTATCTAGAGCCCCAAATAGCTGCTACAGCAGCCCTGAGATCGAATTTTTTGACCTGTGCTACGCGTAGGGAATAATAAGGTATATACCCAGGAATCAACCTTGATAGCTGGGCCCACCATGGACCAGTGAGGGGGCACAAAAAGCAGCCCGCAGGTGCAAAAAATCCCCCAAAAATAGCCCCGAATAGCTGCTATAACAGCCCTGAAATCAAAATTTCCCTCCTGCGCTATGTGCAGGTAAGGATAGGTATATACCCAGTAAATGGCCTTGATTGCTGGGCCTCCTATGGGCCAGCCAGGGGGCATGAAAAGCAGCCCATGGACAGCAAAAGTCCCAAAAAAATCCCCTGTGGGGCTGGTTCTGGGAGCACCCGGTGGGAGTATCCAGCCGGACAGCTCTCTGGATGTTCCCACACCACAATGGGTGGATGCTCCCGTCTGCATGGGTGTCCCCCTATAGCTGGGACCCCTTTGGGGTAGTCATCTAGGAGGGCACAACTACCCCACTATGGGTCATATATATGTCTGCCTGAAGTGCTCTGCGCTTCATTTTTTAAACTCTGATGGGCCGGTGATCTGGAAGCACCCAAATGTCTGGATTCGAGACTATCCTCCATCAATTGGCATCCATCTGAGAAGCTCTCCCATCTTTAATTGACAGTTATATGCTTGTTTCACATTGATATATGACAATCTACCTCAAAATTTTGGACGGGATCAGTGCTCTGCACTTTGGCGATCCCCCAATGGTTATTATGTGGTTAATTCCTTTCTGGGTTTCATCCAGGCCATTGTTGACAGAATGTAGAGCCAAAACAAAGGAAACAACATGTTATTTGAACACAGCTACATACTTTAAACTCAGAAGTGATTCATTTTGATCCTCTGAGAGCTGGCATTGAATATCTCAATGACATCCGGGGTTTCTGAATGCACCAGTTCATTTTTCTCTCTCAATTGACGCAAGCAGGATGACAAAAAGGGAGAAAAGGTTTTTTGCTATTGGTGAGACTCGAACTCGTGCACATCATGTCCGGATGACAAAGATTTTAAACTCCGCTCAGTATTCAGTATTCAGTATCGGCCACTAACATGAGTATCGAGCCGAAGTTCCCAAAGATTAATCAACAAATCCGCGTCATTTCGATGAAAAAAAAAGTATACGAAGAATCAAAAGCCTGGCCTTGAGTCGAACAAGGGACTGAAACCTATGGTACATAAAGCACAATAAGAGCAGGGATGTTACCGCTACACCACCAGGCCGATATCCAAGTCATAGCATTCCACTAGAAATAGTAGTCTTCCACTGGAAATAGTAGCCTTCCACCAGGAATAGAAGGAGGATTCGAATTTTGCAGCGCGACGCAGGGATATCGGTCGTCACTTTGGGCACCCCCCCCCAGAACCAAGTTAGGATAAATAGGCCCACTGGAATAAAATACCCAAGAGGGCTCTGTTTTGTGGGGTGTGCCCATGGGACCCAAACTTGGGCCTGCCCAGCTGCCTGGTGTTTTCTGGTGCTTGGGCGCCCCCAAGGGCTGTCTTATTTTGCATGGGCGCCCCCACCTGTTTCCTGGCATTCTGCCTGGGCAGGCCCACAGATGTCACTTGTCACACTGGTGTCTGGGGTCCTTTTTCCATTTTTCATGGGCCTGCCCACGATGCCTTTTTCCGACTACCATTTTGGGCCTTTCTGGTCCCTCTTGCAGCCCTGCGCAGCGGCCTGAAAAATTTGCTGTTAATCTCTTGCTCAGAGTAGTTTTTTGGCATATGAGAGGAGCATATCTGTGTGTATGGTTTCCACTTCAAATCTAGATAATGCCTGTACCTACCTATCATACCTTCAATATTATATTTTGCCAACCTCCAAATGCAACAACTTGGCTTCACATTGCTGTATATATGTACTTTCTATATTTTCACTTCACTTCAAACCTGGTCGATTTGTTTTGAATAAGGCATGAGTAAATATTTTAGCTCGCCTCCAAATAGGCAGATTAATATTGCTGCAAATACATTTTCACTTGACTTTGAACCCGGTCGATGTGTATTGCATAAGGCATGTGTAGATATTTAACTTGCATCCAAATGTGACAGCTTCATATTCGTGTATATCTTCACTTGGAACATAAATTATTGTACTTGTGATATTTTCATCCTGACGGTGCCTCCCCCTCCTCTGCCTGATCCTATACATTTGGGCCTGCCCACCCTTCATTATGTACGTGTGGGCCTGCCCAGGCTTGCCTTTTACTGGCCCATGGGCCTGCCCACACTTCATTATATACATGTGGGCCTGCCCAGACTCGCCCTTTAATAGCCCGTGGGCCCGCCCACCCTTCATTATATATGTGTGGGCCTGCCCAGGCTTGTCTTTTAATAGCCCGTGGGCCCGCCCACGTGTTCACTATTTGCATTTGGGCCTGCCCAACCCCTTATTTTAGTACACTGTGGGCAGGCCCACACTGCCCTATTCTCCTTGATGAATACATCAACAAATACGGTTGACCCTTAAAACCCATGCATCCAGACTTGACTGTGAGAAATTCAAAGTAAATTGAGTACAGCTTATATTCTCCATGTCTCAGCATCTGTGCTTCCCAAATATCTCCCCTTTATTTGTGGCCAACAACAGAAGCTTTAGTAATTATACAACTTCTCGCTTACACCTTTTCTAATCACCATGATTCCTGTCTATCTCCCCTTCATTTCCTCGAGAATTGCCTTTTTGGCTCATAGTGGTTGCTTGGGGCTTGTTAAATTTTCTAATGACTTGCATAAGCTGTTATGTAGTTAGATATTGAACCGCATTAGGCCGAGTATTTTGTGATCTGCAGGCTAACTAAGCTAGTTGAGACCTAGGTCATTAGATGAATCTGAATGCACTTGCAGAGCACTATAACTTTGGTTTTTTGAGTCACAAAATTTTCTAATGACTCACACAAGTTGTTATGTAGTTAGACATTTTGAACCGTGTTTGGTCGAGTATTTTGCAATTTGCAGGCTAACTAAGCTAGTTGAGGTACAGGTTATTAGACAAATCTGAATGCCCTCAAAGAGCTCTACAACTTTGGTTTTTTGAGTCACAAACTTTCTAATGCAGTTGCAATTTTGAACCGCGTTTGCTCAAGTATTTTGCGATTTGCAGGCTAACTAAGCTAGTTGAGGTGCAGGTTATTAGACAAATCTGAATGCCCTCAAAGAGCTCTACAACTTTGGTTTTTTGAGTCACAAACTTTCTAATGCAAGTTGTACAGTGGTCTGCATTTTGAACCGTGTTTGGTCGAGTATTTTGCATTTTGCGAGCCAACTAAGCTACTTGAGATATGGGTTATTAGATGAATCTGAATGTCCTCAATGAGCTCTACAACTTTGGTTTTTGAGTCACAAACTTTTCTAATGCAGTACCAATTTTGAACCGCGTTTGCTTGAGTATTTTGTGATTTGCGGGCCAACTAAGAGACTTGACATATGGGTTATTAGATGAATCTGAACGTCCTCAATGAGCTCACAAACTTTCTAATGCAAGTTGTACAGTGGTATGCATTTTGAACCGCATTTGGTCGAGTATTTTGCATTTT